CACATAAAATGAAAATACTATGCAAGGCTTATCGTATGCTTACTTTTGGTAACAGTTGGTTTTCACATATTTACAAAAGTCTGCATAACAGTCTAAGAAGTCCTCAGCATATGGAAGAAGTAATAATCTTACTCCTTTAAATGGTCCTTTTTTGCAGCTTCATGATATATACGTGATCATGTTTTTAAGCCATTATTTCCTTGGCAGATTCTTTCGATTTCATATTGAAAACAAAGACGCTTACAAAACTGCTGTCTTAAAAACCATGTACTTAGAACGTGTCTAGATTATATCACTGAAATGTTAATTCTAGTATGTACAATTTCATTAAATTGTTCAATACTTTTTCACAGGACAGTAGACAAGATTACCAAATGTATTATGTATGAAATTTAACAAAAGCAAGTGCGGGATTCTCCAGCTGGGACGGGGTAATCCTGCTTATACATAGAAACCAGGGGATGAGAGGCTGGAGAGCAGCCCCACAGACAGAGGTCTGGGGGTTTGGGTTGATGGCAAGTTGAGTATCGGTCAACAGTGTGCCCTGGCAGCCAAAAGGGCCAGCTGTGTCCTGGGGTGCATCAAGCACAGCATAGCTAGCTGTTTGAGGGAGGTGGTTGTCCCACTCTGCACTGCACTGGTGTGGCCCCACCTCGAGTATGTGTGCAGTTTTGGGCACCTCAGTGTAAGAAGGACATCAAACTATCAGAGTGTGTCCGGAGAAGGGCAACAGAGATGGTGAAAGGCCTTGAGGGCAAGACTTATGAGGAGCAGCTGAGGTCACTTGGCTTGTTCAGCTTGGAGAAGAGAAGGCTGAGGGGTGACCTCATCACAGTCTACACCTTCCTCAAGGAGGGCAGTGGAGGGGGAGGCACTGACCACCTCTCTCTGGTGACCAGCAATAGGACGCGAGGAAATGGAGTGAGGCTGCATCGGGGAAGTGCAGATTGGACGTTAGGAAAAGGTTCTTCACTGAGAGGGTGGTCGGTCACTGGAACAGGCTCCCCAGGAAGTGGGCACCAAGCCTGTCAGAGTTCAAGGAGCGTCTGGACAATGCTCTTAGTCATACGGTTTTAGTTTTAGGTTTAGTTTCTCTTTTCTTCCCTTTCTTTTCTTCCCTTTCTTTTCTTCCCTTTCTTTCTTATTGAATTAAATAATTAGTTATTTCTAAACAGATTTGAACTTGAAGACTGGGCTTGCTTTCTGTTCAACATTTTCTGTTCTGTCACTGAGGCTAGTGTACCACGCTTCTAAAGTTTGTGGAAGTCTGGCTCATTCTGTGTCAGTAGTTTGCCAAAATGTTTACATACATGTGATAATTCCAGTGAACCAGTTATTTGGACTACTACACATACATTATCTTGCTTGAAGTAAATTATGCTAGCTGTTTGTAAATCTTGACAGTCTGTAATGTGTGTACTCTAGAGGGTGCTACTGTTCTAAATGATGAACAAACTTTTGCCCTGTTGTAATAAACTGGCACTACAATTATTTTTGAGCATATCATCTTCTTATTGATAGAATCAGTGATTAGTTCCCAGTTCACTGTTGAGACATGCCCAGAAATCAGTGTTCAAATGGAACTGATTCCTGTGCACATTAAGTTATTTGTACAGAAACAGACTACAAGTGCAAGTAGCGGTGTTTTTAAGGGTATGCAGTGCTGTGAAAATAGGAGACAACACACATGAGCAGTGGTTTGCAGGACTGGACCCCATATATTTGCTGGATGTGTGCTTTTGGCTTTATGCAAGAGTGTTGCTGATAAGCTCTGCATTGCGGTGTTTGAATGCAAATTGGAGAAGTATAAACCTGTTGCATGTTAGCAAATGATTTTCCTGTTGATTTTGCTGCTAGTTGAAAGTAGCACCTGTTTCAATATTTTGTTCGTTTATATGAAATGAAACCATATTGGTTTCGTGGCATAGTAAGATACTGTGGAAATGTACGTAGATTCTGTGTAGTTTGGAAATAGGTGTTGTGTATATATTTGAAACATTTTTAGTGATTACTACTTAATTCATTGTCCTTGCCAAAGTTCAGTAAGTAGTATGAGTTCATACTGGCTGCATCTGTGGCAACTGTATATTCTGTAGTTGTTTAATTTTAAATGTGCAAGATTTTTATCCAGAAAATGAATTGTGAAGCAAGAAATACGTAAATATTTCACATATCTTGAAAAGATTCTTACTATAAGAGGTCACGCTAGTAACTCCAGTAGGCATCATTCATGTTAGTAGCTGTCTGTTTTCTCTACATTTAGGCTTTGGATAGCAACTGTTGTACATAGTGAGTTTCAGATGAATAATGATAGTGCTTGCTTTCCTTCTTTTCCGTGTATAGAATGCAAGAAATTGTCAACAATGGGCAGCCAAATATTACTTGAATTGGGGCATACTTGTTTTGTTAACTTTATTCGTGCTACAGAGGTGCTCTGAGAGTTGATATATGCGTATTCCATGCTCAGTACTAAGAGTAAGGCATAACAGGAATTTCAAACTACAGTTTGGTGAAATTCTGTAAATCAATAACACCAAAGAATTTTGTTCCCCATCTCCCCTCAGTATAAAAAATGTTACTTTAAACATGTAATAAACGTCTTTACGATAGGATTGCACATTTCTCATATTGCAAGTAGGAAATAATTCAAGCAGGACATGACTGTGTTTCTTAAGTACAGTAAATAACATGAAAACTAGGTTCTATTTCACAGCAAACTCATGCTAAGAATTTCTTAGAGTTTGTTCTGAAATGACTGAGTCATGGCTTTTTGCTGTAAGTTATTTTTTTAGAGATACCAAGATAAATTCTTGCAGTTTGTGGCTCAACATTTGGAGAATATTATTGAACATTATACATTTTTATAAGAGTTTTTCGTTAAAGCTACTTTGAAATTAAGTCTCTTTAAATGTTTAAATGTCACATTTGTTTTCAAGCCCCAGATTACTTAACTTCAGTACTTACTATTATTGTTTATTTTCAAAGCTGAAGTCATTTGTTGACATGTGAATCATGCCAGAGTTTAGTTGTTTAAAGGTTGCTTCATCTAAATGACGTTTAAGTAGAAAGACTGAATTTAAAGGAATAGCATCTCACTAATTAATAATTAACTAACATATTGAGCACATTCCAATATGTGCAATGGACTTAGCACTCATGGGGATCAGAATTAGACTTTTAAATATTTTTCAAAGTGGTAAATCTTAGTTTTTCAACTAAGACATTTAAGTTGTCTGTTGTTACAAATTGGTTGGTTTTCTGAGGCAGATGTGGTGTTATCTTTGAACACGATACCTTCCTTTCTGGTCTGGCTTTTGTGGACTTCTCCCAGGGTAATACAGATGTCCTTGTTTTTCCTGCACCTATTAGATTAACATGGTCCAGCTGGTGCTTCATATAACATTATAAAACTGAAGCCATGTCCAGACATCTTCAAAGTTGTCAAGAAGGAATTTTCATATTCCCCATATGGAATTTCAAAACAAATTTGGAAAGAAAAATAAGTGATGAATGGTAGTTCTTTAAGTTAGACTTGTGATGCAGTGTATTTAACTTCTGCTTTTGCTATTGGCAAAATATTTGATAACCTTATGCTGAGTATGCACCTTCTATAATAAAATGATGGATTTCAAACTTCGTATTTCATGTGTATTTATTACAAGAAAACTGTGTAAACCAGTAATGCAAATGCTTTCTTCATTGTTATCTTCTTACCAATTGCATATTCATACAGAATGAATTGTTGGGCAATATTTTTTTTTTGCCATTTCAGTATAAACACTTTCTTCACTTTCTACCATCCGTTATCCATAGCACCTAAGAGATCCTTAAGAAACACGTTGCCAAAGGCAGCGTTTTCCATTGATTATTATGAAGTTTGGTTCTCCCACTATTGAAACCAGTGGTGAAACTCTTCTGGAACTGTGGGAAAAAGATTTTCCAAAAGCAATAATGAATTGTTTTAATATGCAGTATACATTACTTTCACTGATGATGTAGATTTAGTTTAATATAATAACATTTTGTCAGATGTTGAAAATGGACCAAGTTACTTTTTTTTAACACTTGAGATGATGTTCTGTGGTGGTCTGGTTTTGGATTGTGCAACAGATGTTTGCTTGCATATAATGAAAGTGGGAAGGGTACTCTAAGCTTTGGCTTGAGCAAAGAAGGTGTGGAGAGACACTGATACCATATCCCTTTTCCAGCTTCAGTGTTAGAGTAGTTCCCTCTTATGAACAGGTTTTGGTTTTGGTTTTTTTTTTTAATTCCCATTTACTGCAAAGCAGACATATGCTGCCTAAGGCACACAACTGACAGATTCCTAGAAGAGTGTCTGCTTGTTAGGCCTGGGAGACTGGATCATTGAATTCATTTCTGTTTTATCACAGCAATCCTTATGCATAATAATTACTCATAAACTCTGCTTCAGATTAATTACATTGTCTCAAGTTAGTATAGAAAAAGCAAAACAAGTTCTTATATCAGGCACTCACAAATTTGGTGACAACAGTCTCCAGCACCTCTGATACTTTTTTTTTTTTTAAAACAATATAAAGTTTCTAAGCATAGTTTTTCCAATAAACCAGTTCTTCTAAATAGGCTAAGTGGGTAAAGATTAACATGAGTGGTTGTTAGGCTGTTGTTCACATTGAAATGAATTTCCACTGACTTTGTTGACTTTAATGAGAGCAGATTGCATCTTTTTAGTGGTACTTATTTTATATTAATAACTAATTGTGAAATATGTATTTCAGTATACTTTAGTATACACTTTAATGTTGAAAATCACATTATGTATGCTTTTTATCGCAAAATACTGTATGATTGGATGTTAAGGATACAAGGATGTCAGAGGAAGGAGAATTGTGTATTAGTAGGTAGATTCAATTAGTATATATGTGTATTTTCAAGACACTGCAGGCCATACAGGAAGCTTTTATGTAGCTACTGATTACAGATACATATATCCTTGATAACTCTCTCTTTTTTTCCTGCAGGGCCAAGGCTTTTCGTGGTAAAAAGGTCCATGGAGAATATGACATAAAGGTTGAACAGGTAACTAAATGACTTAATCTGAATGTTATTTTTATATTTGTGTATTTATGCAACTACATGTATATGTATAACTATATACCTCCCTGGAGGTATTTGAAAGATGCATAGGTGTGACACCTAGGGGACGTGGTTTAGTGGTGGACTTAGTAGTGTTAGGTTAACAGTTGGACTTGATCTTAAAGGTCTTTTGCAACCTAAATTATTCTATTTTCCAACCTAAACGATTCTATGATTCTATGATTATATATGCATATATGTATAGATAGATCTATAGTCCTTTGTACTTAAAAAAAAAAAACTCACAAGTTAAGTAGAACACTCAAAGATTTAATTATATTTCATTCTAACATGGCTCTTTTTGGAAGATTCTGACCACAATTTGCACAACATTAAAAACATATTGTATTCAAAAGTTGTTGCTTAGAGACTGTGAATTTCCAAGACACTCCATGAGTTACGTGTTGCATTTCTGTATCACTAATTCCTGCACTTAAAAATATACATACACTCTGGTTGCAGTGCTAGCATGTGGGTTTTTTAAAAAGAAGCACTGAATAAATATGGAGATACAATTCAGGGTGCATTAGGATTATGGCTATTTTATTTGAGCTAAATATCTGAAACTAGGGAAGTAAATAAGTCTTTTCACTGCTTTTCAATCTTAAATTCTGTGAGTAGATGCTACTGTAAGAAGCTTCAGTACTTGAACTGAATTGTTTCGCCATTGGAATTTCAAAGAGTGAGGGAAAATTATTATCACTAGCTGTGTGAATTCAACTTACCTAAATTCACTGTAATAGTACAGCATCTAGCTTAGCTCCATTCTTTACACCATTGAATATCTGCTGATGTTCTTGGCTTGGAAACATGGAAAGCTTTGCCAGGGATCTTCAAGAGTATTGAGGGAGAGACAGGAAAAAGAAGACAAGCTATTTTGTCCCAAAATACCATTTATACCTATGTCAGACCATGGAGTTGACATCATGCAGACTGTCTCTTTAATATTAACAGAAGCTCTGTGTAAGCATAGAATTTCCTTCATATGGTCTCTTGTAGGACCAGAACCACCTTTAATCAGTAAGAGATTGAAAGTTTCTGAACCCTACTAATCACTTTGTAACACGTCAACACTGCGACAATTGTATAGAGTTACTATCAACTACTTTAGTGTTCTTTTGCTGATACTAGAGAGCATTATTTTATTTTTATACTACTTACAGCAACCTATCTATAACATACAATATATTCTAATATGTACTAACCTTTTAAGCTACAAAATCTATATTTTGAATCCTTGTAATTGTTTAATATGATTTATTAATTGGAGAGATCGGTTGTCAATCTCGGATTAAATAGATTTTAAATGATTCTTTAACATTGTCAGCACTTATACAAATATTTCAATCTCTCACTATTTGCACTGTTTTTACAATAATCTTAAAACTGCCCCTTCTGTTTAGAACATTATAACACTCATCCAAGAAAGTATATAAGCATATGGGATTTAATAAAGAGACATCCATGCTTGAAATCAAGGACATACTTAAGCTATTGAGTTGGAACAGTGGTTAGAGTAGTCAACACTCGCCTTAACTGAACACTAAATTCTGAAAGCATCACACAGATTTTACTTAGGAAGACTTTCAGTGATACCATTTTTCAAGAGGAGACTAATGAGAATTCTGACACTCTCTATTCTGTATTAGTGTCTGGGATAGCAAAGACGCTTTTATTTATCCACTAGAAGACAGTTGGCTGCATTTCAATTATTCTGCCATGCAATGTTATTGTAAAGTGCCTTGAGAGTCTAAACTGATGAAAGACTGTGGATAAATGAAAAACATCGTGTTCTTTCCTTTCAAATAACTGTAGATTCAGAGTATGGAAGTGATTCCTTTTAAATTCCACATTTCCAGTGTGAGAAGATATTTTGAAAAAGGTCTTTTTTTGTGAATTTTGCGAGTCAATTGTTTATTAGCACCAGAACTTTTAAAAAGAAGAGTAAATGCACATAAAGGAAATAGAACGGGGTGAAGTATATGAAGAGACACTAAATGCTATAATAAAATATTCTATTTATCATAGTTATTTGAACATTGCTTTTGTGCCATTTTCTTCAAAACTTTGTGTAAATGTTTTTCGAGCCTGTATTCATCTCTTTGATAACACCATGCAAAGCAAAAATATAACCTCTACACTTCTATGCAGACATGAATGGGGAAATACACATGCTACTGCTGCACAGTCCTTTTTCATAAAGTTTTTCACTTTTTGCTTTCTTTGTATTACAATTTATTCAAATGTGATGTGTCGTATGTGGCAAATACTGTTGAATTAATATTCTCTTAGTGCTCGTTATATTCCAAATGTATATTGTCAGCAGCTCAGATACTAATGCTTAAAAAAAAAGGATTTAGGAAAATAAAGGTAGAATAAACCAGACTGACTAATAATGTGAGTCTTCTTTTCATAGGCAGAATTTTCAGAAATCAACTTGATAGCCCATGCTGATGGCAATTATGCAGTAGATATCCAAGTATTTCGAAATGGCACTAAAGTTGTCAGGTAAGGAAAACTAAATAGAGTAACAGTAAAAAGCAATAAAAGGCATAATGCATGCATGTAAAATGTACCAAGTAATTTTTTTGTGTGTATGTGGTAGGGGTTTTGACTGACATAACTCACCTTGATCATTGGCATGAAGAGTAGGAAATAAAATAACTGATCAGTGCAGTAAGTCCTGTTTATGACAGGAAGGAAATCTCTTGACATTTTGATCACATGAAAGATGGATTTGATTAAGATGGGAATGAAGTCTGGTATAAAGAACACATGATTGAGAATTAGGGTTACTGATTTGGGCCTTATCTTTGCTTCAGAAATAAAGACAGTCTTGGTGATTTTGTACATGCCAGCCCTCTCCAGATGAGCAGGATTTATATCCAGTGCTGAATATTTTCTGTTGAAACAGGCCAAGTCATAGCACTTCTCTCAGGATAGTTATTGGAATATCACTGTCTGAAGGATTTCCATTTAAAAGCCTTAGATTTCCCAATAGGCTGTTTTGTCCAAAAAGGATTATTCCAACTGAAGGCAGGGTAATTTTACCATTTTTTTTTTCAGCAAGGATGACAACAGCCCTGTAAATGTAAGGGGAGAAAACAGGGGTATGTTTGGGCAAAGTAAAAGCCTAAGTAAGTATTAGCAAAATTATTTTAGGCAGTCCTCTATTTTATCTAATTTGTGGGAATTACTCCTATTTTGGCCAGTGCAGTTACGTATGAATTAAGTGTAGCAGTTGTTTCGCTTAACAATTGCATTCAGAAGGGTAGATCAAACCACTAACAGTGACCTGTTAGTTACTGCTTATGTTTATCTTTAGGCAAGAGTTCAGGGAGCTGGACAGCATACAGCATGTCTTGTATCTTTGTGTTTTTGCACATCTGTCCAAATAAAAGATTTGAAAATTTTTGCTCATTCATGGAAAAAAAAAAAAGCAGGGAAAAAATATTGAAAATAAGTGTACTTTATGCTTTAAAACTCGCAACTGTTTAATCTCTTGTGTGTTCTAAAAATACTGCAGCTTGCTACAGCAACCACTTATGCCAAATCCACAAGCTTATTTCCTTAGAAGAGTAAGAGGTTTGATTTTTTAGGGTTTGGTTTTTTTTTTTTTTCCCCCCAATGATAGAAGTTTTGGAGCCAGGAAATCTTGATCACTGCTCCTTAGTGGCTTTTCTGTAGAGAATTTTCCAAACAGAACAGAAATATTGAGGCCAAGTTAACATCAAAACATGTCAATATTAAATGTGAGTTGGAAACCTCCAGAAAATAGCATCTACAGGGATGTATATTTGCAGTTTATGAGAAAACTTGGTAAAACTGCTGCTTATGTTAAGAAACAGAGAAATCTTGTGTCATCAGATAACTCTGATAATGAGATGATGAAGGATTTTATAATATTACCAGTTTTATGGGTAATTTATTTAAGCAAATAGGGCTACCTGAAGTTCATAAACTTCACTCAAATCTGTGTGAGGTATCTGCGTGTTTGTGCATGCTTTCTGGTGTGAGAAGGCTATGCAGACATGATGGGACAGCAGTTCTCTGTTTCTGTGATAACTTACCTGGAGATACAGAATATTTTTGAAAAACAGAAGTATTTTTCAAAAATGTTCTGTATCTTCAGATAAGTGCTAGTCTTTTTGTTGCTTTAAGTCTAATCGGTTTGTGAAGTTTATTGCCTGAGGCTTGGAATATGCTTCTTGTATCACTAAGGAATGCAGAGATAGTGATGGATATTACTTTACATTTTCAGTTGTTAAGAAGCTTCATTTGAAATCCAGTGTTAAAAATGGGTTAGACAATAGGATGTGTGGCATGTTTCTTTGTTTCTGTCTGTCTCAACTGTCAGGACAGATGGCAGAAACTGCTGGTCCCACTAGTATCAAAGTTCATGTTGACTATGGACTATGAGCATATTACTAAAAAGGCCTGAATACTGAGGTCTTATGTGTTATTAATGTGAGGTACAAAGTGACCTTGTATCATAAATTTATGAGCAAAATATTAGTTAGTAAAATCATAGAAATTTCAATGACAAAATTGTGCTGCCTTAGTTTAGGAGGAAAAAAACTGCAGGCACCTGCTTGTTTCATTTTTGTGAATGAAAATCAAACCATGAAAAATGGTATCTCATGTTACATAATACTGAGATTTTGGATCTTACAAATGCTTGAGCCAGGATTAAATTTTTCTCATGACCTTCTTTGGCATACACAGTCATTCTGTCCAGAGGTAATTAGAGAACTAGAACAATTATGTAAATGTATCATGTCCCTTTGAGGAATTTTTGCAAAGCAAAAAAAATTTTTTTTTTTAAGTACATTCCCCCAATTCCCCGACTGTTTCATTGAATCGGTATTTTAACAGACGCTTTCTGTTCTTTACTTTATTTAAAAACACAGTGCTGGGTTTGAGATGATGTGTGATCCCCTTAGCACTATTTTAAACAATAGAGGGGGTCTCTTTCTTTCACTGAGTGGTCTGCAATTTTGATTAAGGCATCGTTAGTCCTCTAAGTATTATACTTATGCTGTGCCAGTAAATTGAATTTCCTTGTTTCAAACACTTGGCACACCACCATGAAACCTAGATCACAAATTCTCAGCACTATGATACAAATATTTTTTTGAAACTTGTCGAAAGCAAGCATTTCTTGACAAGTTTTGGTCATAGGTCTACAGTGCCATTTTAATGACCCTTGACAGCAAATCTTTATAATGTTGCTTTTTCCAGATCATGCATTACATTTGAAAGCCAGCTTACAAATCCAGCTAATATACTTTGACTACTGCATTCAGGCTGGAATCTCAAAACTGCTTAAGCAATTTTAACATGAATTTTAATCATTTTGGTTTTGGTTTGTTTTACTAGAGTGAGATTTCTGAATCATTTTGTAATCTTCAGAATTTTTCACTCCGGTATACAGCTTATATTTATTCAAGGCATGTAAATAATTACACTAATTAACTACACTAATTTAATTTACCCTGCGGTTATACCTCTTTCAGGGGGTTGATAGCTTCAAGCTAGTCAGTGTTTTTTCCACCTATAAAATTTGGATAAGGAGGAGAATCTTTCAACAGTCAAGTTTAGAAGTGAATTGCCCCTGTACTGGTGGCTCTGTCCTGTTGCATTATATCTTCTGTTTTCCATAACCTTCTTCAGTAACTAAATGTCATGGTTTGAGTAAGGTGAAGATGGTGTCAGACTGTTTGCAAAGGTGCATGGTGATAGGACAAGAAGCCACAGAGGTTGCAACAAGGGAAATCCTGATTAGATACAAGAGAGAAAGAGGAAAAAAAAGCGCAACTGAAAGTTTAGAAATTCATTTTGACAAGTGTCTTGATCAAAAGCTGAATTGTGATTATGTCCAATTATGGTATGATTCCTTTTGCGAGCAGTGGGGTTGCTTCATCTCTTACTGTCTTTAAAACAGTCTGACAATAGTTGTGAAAAAAAAATTGTTCCCAAATAGCTTAAGTTTCTGGCAGAGACATTTGCCTGCTTTGTTTTTGATTGTTATTGCTCAGGAACTGGTGAACATAAACTAAGAACATACTCCGACTTTATATATATGATTTATCTTTCAGTGAGAAAACAACCTGAAAAGCCATGATAATTTGTCTCTCCTCTTCATGGATTCACATTATTGACTGGATGCTGATGTTTTCTGAACAGCGGTTAAGAAATGATAGAGTATAGATTTTCATAATGCCATATTAATTTTTTGTGTCTTGTAGCATTTACCTTTGTTTTGAGTGTTCTTTTAGTACTTCTCTGTCCATCAGTTAGATGTTTTTCCCTTTTAGGATCTTGCTGTTGAAGGAAAAACAATTTGATCATTGACTATTAGCAATATATCTTTTTCTTGCTAGGTCATTCAGGCCTGATTTTGTCCTTGTTCGACAACATTCATTCAGTATGGCAGAAAATGAAGATTTCCGTAACTTGATCATTGGAATGCAGTACGCAGGCATCCCTAGCGTCAACTCCCTGGAATCAATCTATAACTTCTGTGACAAACCGTGGGTGGTAAGTGATGTACCAAAAAGTTCTTCTGGTGCAAAAACAGTGACTTTTTTTTGTTGTTTGCTTGTTTAGTTCCCTTTCATGAATATTGAGTATCAAACTGCAGTTACTTAGCAGAGCAGTGAAGCAATAGTGAAAGGAATAGAAAGTAAACTAAACTAAGATATTTAAATCATTTTTTCAAAGAGCCAGTGTAGGCAGTGTGGAGACAGAGAGAAAAAATATTTGTAGTACAAATAATGAAATAAGTGAGGAAACTAACGGAAAGCCTATCCACTGCTAACATACTTCCTCAAGTGAGGAAAGTGTGTTTATTCACGATTTGTCTGGGAAAAGCAAGCTGAGAATATTTTTCGTATTTGTGGTTTTGAACATAATTTAAACAGACTTTTAGCCACTGTTTTCCTCACGGCTGTGAAATATTTGGGGCTATGCTTTAGCAAGGAAATCTGAAGCTATTAGTTTCCTCATTTGAAAGCTCTTTTCATAATCTTGTGCATATGGGGTAGGAGTAGGTCTTTTCAGTTACACCTAGAGTAATGGGGTACACTGGAGAATCACTGATATTTGCCAGTTTTAGTGTAGAAGCCAATTCAGTTTTTCATTACATGCATTGTAGTGATGGAGGTAGAATTTGGTGATCTTTTTGGTTCATAGAGAACTAAACATTAGTAGCAACAAGTTAAAATGTAGTGCTGTAAAAGATGGTTATCAATGGTGCAATCACTGTTACTTTAATAGACGTATTCAGTTGCCCAAGAGCTAATGAAATTTTAAAGAATACCACTTGTTGTAAATAGCCAAAGCTTCATAACTTTTTCCTCTGATGTCTGGGTAAGAAAAGAACAGTTGTCAGTATTTTTCACACCGAAGGGAAGTTTTACCATGATACTTTTTACTGCCTTGAAGATGTTTATTTTTTCACACTAACTATGAAAATCCCTCCAAAAACTTGTCAGCAGATTTTAATATAGACCTCTTTCAGCTAATTTGATCATACTTCTATGTTGCAGTAAACTACAGTGGGGAATAAAGTTAGAGCATTTATAACTTCTCAGAATACGTATTGTACATTGCTGAATCCATTATTTTAATACATCACATTTTCTGTGCTGTGTGGCATTTCTTAATGCTTTGATTCATTGTATGCAATAAAGCTGGGTGATGAAGCAATAACAGTAGCATTTATATGCAATAATGATGCAATAAAAAGTAAATGAATAATTCCTCCTTGTAATATTCTTCTGGTGGCATTAGTGTCATGGCTGTTCTTCCACCAAACCAATAAAGATATGTCTTTCTTACAACTGGTCTTGTTGCACATAAAATTTCTCTGCTGATTTTTTTCACTCCTAATAATAACTGGGAGTAACAGGAATATTTACTATAAAAACTGGAAGACCTGGCAAAAGCAAATGCAAGGTTACATGTGTAAAATAATTGTCATGTCCCATATCTTTTTTTTTTTTCGTTCTACACAGTACACCTCACAAACAAATGAAGTATTATGCTTATAAGGTTTTATTTGAATTTAGAGTTATAATAATTTAAAAATAGTCTTGAATTATGGTAGAGCTTTTTTAAGGTGTGACATGACAGTTGATGATAAAATGGCTCTCTTCTGAACTGCAGTATTTGTATCTTTGCTTTTTGCAGAAATTCCCTGTTGGCTGAAATTTCTGTAGTTTGTCTCAGCCTAGATATGAATGAAATGAAAATATTTTTAAGCTGAACTTATTTTATTTGAATATAGAGAAGAATGATTTTTTTTTCCCTTTGAGATTTTTCTACCTTGCCATTTCTAGATATGACAGCCAAAATATGTTTCAAACTAGCATCTTTCAGGTTTTAATTATCTTCTATAGTTCCCTGAAGTGGTTTTCATTAAGATGCATAATAGAGACAGCAGGGCCTGAGCATATGCCCCCCACTGCAAGTCCATGGACAGTGAGGCTCTCCAGAGTAGGCAATGTTCATGTGTTGTGAACATGATCATGCTTTTCTCCACCAATGGCCTCAATCCTGTCTTTTAACTACGTATGACCATAAGCAAAGCCTGCAAATGTGTGATTGCTTCCCATTCTGAATATGTGGTGGCACTGTACTTTAGTTGGATCCTACTTATGAGTGTGGATTTTTGATTTGAGCACAAGAATAGTTTCTGTACAAACACGAGGGGGCTTGTTTGGGCAGTTAACTTGGAATATCCTGACTTCTGTTCTTGTGGTAGTGGGAGGTGTAGAGACAGTGTTACATGAAAAATTCATCATCCTGGCTTGTGAGATGGATTTCACTTAAATGCTAGTAAGAATGTCAGAAAGCTACTTATGTAGGGGGGAAAGTTTTATAAATAAAGACTAAGTTCTTTATGAGTGCATGCAGAGCTGTGGAGGAACTGTTTTAAGGTTCATACCCTCTCTTACCACGTTGGAATGTTTCATTGCATTGTCATGTTGCAAAGTAGTAGTCTGGTGCATGACTCATTGTCGTGGTTTAGCCCCAGCCAGCAACTAAGCACCACGCAGCTGCTCGCTCACTCCCCCTACCCCAACAGGATGGGGGAGAGAATCAGAGGAGTAAGAGTGAGAAACACTCCTGGGTTGAGATAAGAACAGTTTAATAATTGAAATAAAGTAAAATGATAATGATAATAATTAATAATAACATACAAAGCAAGTGATGCACAATGCAATTGCTCACCACCCGCCAAACGATACACAGAGAGTTCCCGAGCAGCTATCGCTGCTCCCAGGCCAGCTCCCCCCAGTTTATATACTGAGCATGACATCATATGGTATGGAATAGCCCTTTGGTCAGTTTGGATCAACTGTTCTGGCTGTGCCCCCTCCCAGTTTCTTGTGCACCTGGCAGAGCATGGAAAGCTGAAAAGTCCTTGACTGGCATAAGCAGTACTTGGCAACAACTAAACCAGCAGTGTGTTATCAGCATTCTTCTCCTACTAAATCCAAAACACAGCACTGTGCCTGCTACTAGGAAGAAAATTAACTCTATCCCAGCCAAAACCAGGACACTCATCCCATTCAAATGGCATAAAAATTTTACCTAATTTAATTTACAGTTACATCAAGTTAAGGTGAGGCAAAAATTTATACTTTCCTCGTTGGATTTGTCATCCATCTTATACTCATGTTTAACAGTGTGCAGAACCTGTTGTAAGCAATTATGAATGTTTTAGGATAGTAAAAAGAAAAAAAAAAAACATAATTACCCAAAGTTATGACTTTATGTTATTTAAAGTAACAGTCTAGATACTTTATTATCTCTGTTTTCCTTTAGAAAATGTCATTCAAGAAATAAGTGAGACATTCCTTAACTGAGTCTTATGAGATTGTATGTAATCTTTCCGATAGTACACGACATAGGTAAGCGAAGTAAGTAGTTGTGGAAGCTGGAAGTAACTGGAAAATGTGATGATAATGACAGTGCTTGCAGTAAAAGGTAAAATCTCATGCTTATGATTCTGGCTGAGGAAATAATATTTTTTAAAAACCCACAATTTTCCAGTGTATTAGGTTGAATTTTTAAAAAAATTCTTCTCTCCTGCATCCTTTCTTTTGCATACTTCCTATTAAAATTTACATGAAATTTGCATGCTTAAGTGTTTACATCAATTGAACCCTGCTCTTGATTTTAGCTTCAGTTGCAAGTATTGATGATAGGGGTGCAGTCTTGGAATACCACAGGTTATTAGCTCTTCACCCATACTGTGTATAGCGGATTGTCAATAAGTGGAATTATGCAGTGAGGTAGAGTTAACTGGTGAGTATACTAAACATGCAGACTCTGACTTGACTTGTCAGGGACTGCAAGGTTCAATGTCTGTGGCTGCTATAGATAGAACACTTTATTTCAGTTAAACCTGGACTGTAGCGTACTAATTCAATGCATTACATAAGCTGGATTGCTGCTTCTAGGTTCAGATAGTGATAAACATTTCAGCACTGCAGAGATTACAGAATTGCTGCAGTTGTATAGCCCAAGTGTATATGATTGAAGAGAAAGAAAATTCTCATAAAATCAGTCCAATTCCATGATAGGGGTTCTGGTTCCTTTAATGCAGAGGAAAAACACAGCAGCATCTGTAGCTGGCTGCAAATCTGTTCTCTTGTTACTGTTCCGTGGGAGGCTACGTAACAGTGCTCGGTATGGAAAGCTTCAAGGATCTGCTGATATACTAATTACACGTTTACTCTGGTGAAGGAGATGGCACAACTTACAACGTAATAATGGGTCTACAAAAAACATTTGTGAGCGCTGTGACCTTAATTAGCTGTTGCCATGCTGGTGGAAGAGTCTGTGTTTAGCTTGAAACACTGACATGATGTAATCACAGAGGGGATGTAGAAAGCCCGCTGTAGCATGTCAAGCTACTGCATAGCAGTAATAGCTTGTGAAGAGGCATCTGTCACTTCATGGATGGGAAAGCTGGGTGCTGAGCAGGCTTGGCCTCAAGTGAAGTAAACTGTTGGCATAGTGACAAACTGCTGCATCAGTTTGGTAATGTGGGCAATAAAGGAAAAAAAATAGGAACTGTGTTCTGGTCAAAAGCTGGCAGAGTGGAATTAAGATCCAGAAGACAGACATATCTGTATTATTTTAAAGACAGCTGAAAGATCCTGGCATTTTTTGGAGCAGATAGAGCTCCAGATGTGAACCCATCTTGTACTGAAATATCTTCAAAAGATCACTGGGACTTTACTTCATTGTAGGAATTTATTGTTATTAAGGGTTTTAAATGTAAGAGAAGTGCCATAGAATACTTTGTATGCCAAGATTTATTTCCTTGCTCATCTGCATTCATTCTGAGGGAGGCATGGTTATGGCTTTGCCTTTTGTCAAACTTGGTAGTATTCTAAATCTCACAGTTCTTGTTTGTTTCTTTTCCTATGGTTTGTGAGTGGACAGCCAAATACTTTTTTGTAAGTTTGTTGACATTTTTCTTTTTTGCTCCTTTTGCCTTGCTTACGTAATTCTGTGCCTTC